ACTGTAGATTTACACAAGTTGGGAAAGTCTTTAAAAGCCATTTCTAAAAAAAATGTCTGTAAATACAAGTTATTTGGATAATATATTCTAACTTGTGCACCCAATTTTTGTTTTTAAAAATCACTGAAGATGTATGTTGTATGATTATTCCACCCTGGAAAAGGAACGGTTCAAATAAATCATTAAAAGCCCAAAATTAAAATGGCATTCCTGCCCCTGATAAGTGTATGTCATCTTCTGACCTGTATCTCATCAATCTAGTTGTTAGCACAGTTTAGTTTTATCTGTCTTGTCCAGTATGGTCCTGTCTGGTGAAGTCCACTTTTTTTCCAGTGCAATTGTCCTTGTGCTTCTCCTGCACTGCCTATCTGTCCACGCCCTGCATGGCCTGTCTGTCCACAGCCTGCAAGGCTTGCTTGGTCTGTCCATCCACTGCCTTAATGACATGAATGTGGGCTTAAAGAAGTGGAACTAAGCAGACCGCTGCAGGACCCGTGGCACTGAGGGAAATCTCCCTTTGGCTTTTCCACTTCTTTAGATCCAGTGTTAACAGCTGTGTACTTGCTGAGGTTCCTTATTTTTAAAATGGACTTTAAACATATTACCTTTTATTGACATACTCATAATGAGCCATTCTAAGTCAACTTCATATTGTTGACATGTATCTACAGTAAATGCAGACAACAAAAGTTACTCTTGTCTCTTGAGGAGATAAGAACAGTGTGACGGCTTGACCTTGTTCTGACATAAGACCTAATTAATTGTTTAAAGTAGGGCAAACTGGATTGTTTTTTGTGTCAAATGAATTTTTGGGTGGTTTGCATTTTTAATTGTGGCTTCAGGTCACAACTTGACACAGAAGTTCAGTCGCTAGAGTTTTAACACTTTGGGTTCAACCCCTAAATGAGGCTCAGCTGTTCTGCAGGCATCAGCCTGTTAGCTCTGTAAACATACAGCTGAATCTACAGTACGTTAAAGCAAATGCAGTGGAGCCCGCTTACAGTGATCACGGTTATAGTGATCAAAAAGCTTGGCACAGAATCATTCCAATACAAATACAGTTTATAGTAATCAAGTAGTCCACCCACAGTGTTCGCTTTAGGTCTTTTTATACATGACAAAATACGGAATAAATTAAAACTACTCAGATTCTTCTTTTTTTACTTTACTTTGCTTTACGGTAATCCGTCTGCTTCTGGCTAGCTACCCGAGGCTAATGCCGTGTGCACAGAAAACATGACGGGAAAAAGAAGGTAATTTTCTCTCAATGACAAATATAGACTCATTGAAGCTGCGCTCAGTGACAGAGTCTGGGTTGACTCAGGGCTGAGGTTCCATTTTTGCTCTGAGTTTTGCCCTGACCTGAAAAATATGGAAGCGGAGATGGAGAACATGGCGCTGGTGCTGATGGTGGGTCCGCGGGGTGGCAGCACCGGAGTGGGGCTGACAGGGCGCGTTCCTCCCTGTCCAGGTATCTGTAATTAGCTGTGTTACCTTCATTAGCTTCAGCCGGTCCTGCCACTGGGGCTCTGCAGTTCCAGAGCGGAGCAGAACTGCCACCAAGCCAGTGCGCGAGGCCATGGAGTTATTGGCCGATGCGCCACACACATGGACAGAAACACACACATGGATTTCTTAGTGTGTTGACAGAGTGTGTGCATGTGTGTGTGTGTGAGTGAATGTAAGTGTCTATATGTGTGTGAGTATGTGCCAAAAAGGGGGTGTTGGTTCTCACTATGCTTCTCTGGTCCCCCTTCTGTCCTCTAGAACATGTCAGCCATGGATTCCCAGAACGACGACCGCTCCCCAAGAAAGACCACAGTTTTTAAGGTGGGCAGCCACGCTCAAACACACACTTATACACTTACTCAGAGTGAGAGAGCCTCTCCTGCCATTCAGATCTGTAACGGGCTGCTGAGCGGCTCCGGAAAGCGGCCGTCACAGGGCAACTACGAGAAGGACAACATGTGCATCCAGCTGTTTGACCCAGTGGTCTGAGGCCAACCCAGTGGACACCTAATCTCACGCATGTGCCGCTACCCGCACGGTCACATCAGCTCCTACCTCAAGCCTATGCTGCAGAGAGACTTCATCCCTGCCCTGCTATGGCTTATAGCTTGACTATATATTAAGTAGAGCATCTCTGCCTGTCACAAAAACTATTGTTTCTGATGTATGCCAATGTCATAAACAAGTTGAAGAGTCAGTAGTTGATGGGCTTTCCACTATTCTATGGAAATCTAATCCGCTATTTCAAAGGATGGCCCTCTTTCTACTGCTTATAAATGTGTACAGTACTGTATACCTTTCATTTTGGTGTTGTACAGCCGGTTGAGTACATTTTACATGCCCAGAGGAATAGGACATTTCAATACATCCCTCTATTACAATGTCTCTCGTAAAAGTCTCCTTCAGCATCTTGAAACTCCAGGAATACAAAAACAGCAATTGGCTTTGTCTCCGAGAGTACAGAACTGTAAGAGATGGTGAGTACTACAAACAAAATCCTTTTCTGTCTGATGAAGGTTTGAGAATAGCAGTAAATCTTTGTGTGGATGATTTTGAGATTGCTAACCCTCTTGGAACATCTACCTACTTTGGACCCCTAACTGGACTGAGGACGTTGAGATGTGAGGCAAAACATAGCTTCTTAAAGCAGGTTGTTGGTCATAGAAATTGCTTTAGAAATATACCTCGTTCACTAGCAATTAAACACCAGTTCATGTTTGCCTACCACACACATTCCTTTAGTCTCAAGAAATCATCCTTGGAGGTCACAGATGTCTCAGTCATGCCTGCTGATGTCCTTAATGAAGGAGTCTACACTGAAGCAGAGATACCCAGATGTGACTGAGTTTCATATGGCAAAAAACGTGTTTTGCAGTGGTATTCATTACAGTGAAGGGATCATGATTGTACACGGATCTGTAGATGGGCTTCCTAAATTTAATGAGATCATTCAACTGTGCATTCTTAAGGAGAAGTTGTGCTTTTAGTGAAAGGTCTGTGTCAAGGTTATTCAAATCACAATCCTCGAGGTCCGAGTACTGCTGGTTTTCCAACCTTCCTTTACCTGTGAGCCAGGCGTGAAGCCTCTGACCAATCAGAATCAAATCAGTAAGTTAGTTATTAAACTAAACTACCTGGGAGAACTGAAAACAAGGCCTGGATTTGGAATCGAGGTCCAGATTTGAAGAACCCTTGTCTATGTTCTTGGTACAGGGAGCATTATGGCGGATTTGAGCTATCTGCCTCACTTACTAGAGAGGTTACCCTAATTGAGTTTGTTGACTTGGGAGACCCATATCCCATTGTGGAGTACATGGTTGGGGTTTTACGCATGATCATGTTGAAAAGATTTGTCATCATTAAAGGTTACTGCCGTCATTAAATCCAAATAGTCTGAGCTCTGGATATCAGGTTCTTAAAAAACCTTATAAAATCAGATATAACCATAATGCATTGGTTTCTTGTTCTACCTTCTGTCTCTTTTCTGCTCCAGATTAAAGGTTTTCCATAATGGCAAGTTCAGCTGTGCTGCGGATCATCTTTGGTGACGAGTCTGACTCAAGAAAACTGCCCCTGGTTTCTGGAATTCCAGCAACAGGGGAAGAACTGCATATATTAATAAAGACATTTTTTCAGTAGAAAGAGGACTTCCGGTTGCAGTATACTGTATGGATGCTGACTTTAATGAGTTTATGAACCTAACATCAGTGTCTGACATTCAAAATAAAAACATGCTGAAAGTGATATACTTTTCACCTGTGGGGTCCTACATCATTTTGTACACAGTACATTCACCTGGTGAGACCTCTATGACCACGTGCCCAGAGCATAAAAACCCTGCTTTGTCAATAGCCTCATCCTGCAGCATTGATACGCTGTGCACCTCAACCCCACATTCATCCCCGGAAACAATACCCTCAGGATTGTTCTCCTGGCTTAGGATTGTGATCCCTAAATTCATGTACGAGGCTGAATTTGAGCTACACACAAAAGAAGACAGAGTTTGAGACAAATGGAACATATTTCAACCCTGGCCAAAAGTTGAAAAGAGTCATCCTTGATGGCTTAGCCCAAGAAATGATGAAATATACAAAGTACCCAAAAAGACTATCAGTGTGAAGAAGTAGCAGCAGCTTTGACGGGGGTCCATCCTTGTTTGGGGCAGCTGGGATCCAGGACAGGATTTTGCGGTTGGAAACAGTCACTTAAGTATAAAATGCAAGACTATCGGACAAAGCTTGGGCAACTTGGACATCCTGAAATCCTTGTGAACTCCTTGAAGCACAAACGAGAAGGCAGGCTGAAGTTAACTACATTCCTCTACACCCAAAAGGCGAAACCACAGAAAGTTCCAAGGAAGAGAGAATCGCTTTATTGTCAGAACAGAAAAAGTGTGACAATGACATGATGATAAAAGCAAAAATGGAAAAACCTTCTCTCAAATATGCCTAGAGGCCCATGATAGGAGAGTTGAGAAATAGATGGCCTGCCTTGTTCCAGCAGAGTGAAGTAAGTAAATGTGTATGATTGTATGTGTTGACTGTTTTTATTATTGTCCATGGTGATTGATTGCTTCACAACTGCAATTTGAATTTGCCAACGATCGAGCATCCTTATATGGTATTAAATATAATAAACTATTAACAAATGGCTGCATTTTGTTTAATAATATTTTTCAGGTAATCCAGAGTTCTTGCAGATCACCACTGCTTCCAAAATTCATGTCACAGCTGGATCACTCTTCAGACCCGCTGATACAGATCTTCAAGAGCAAATGAGGAGCGAAGGGACAAAGGATCAAGAGTATCCTGGCGATCAATGCATCTGGTTAGCAGAAATACATTTTTTCATTGTATTTGTGTGGATATTGTAAGGTTTTCTTGTCCATGGCTGCTCATTTAAACACATTTGATCGATGATAAATGGCCTGCTTATACAGCACTTTTATCAAAAGCGCTTTACAGTGTTTGCATTTCATTCACCCTCTCACACACCCACAAATGGCTGTATAAAGCATGCAAGGCAACTAGCGACAGATACAACCCTCTACTATTCAGACAACCTGCTCCCCTCATTGTGGCACCATTGCACTCACGTTATGTTAAACTCTGTTGTGATTTGTCACTTGTGCTTTAGAGTGACAACATCAACACCAAGAGGGAGCGCATCCTGAGTAGCCTTGTCATCTACCTCAGTGAAGATCCTGACTCTTTCTTCAAGGAATATCTAGTAAGTTGACCACAATATAACTTACATACATTGTATATAGTTTTCTATTTGTGATGTTCAGCTTTTTACGTGACACAAGTGTTCTGTGTTGTTGTTCAGGTCTCCGCTACTGAGGACAGAGAGAGGATCACCACAACCTGGGGCTTTAGACGATCCAAAGAGTTGGGGATGAGGAGCCAGAGGAAGTGGGAATTGTGACTGAAGGCATTAAAGTCTTGAACAAACTAGGCAGTGTCATCATGGGATTCATCATGCTGCTTGGGCTCATTTATGCCCTTGATGTAAGCTTTCCAGAAAACCTCAGATACACCTTCGAGGTTTTCCAGAAGATCATGGTGAATTTGGATGGGCTCTAGCCAAATGTAAAGATTCAGTAGCTGAAAACTGAGTGGTTTGCATGAGAGGCGAACACCAGCTGACAAAGTTCATTGTCAGGTTTCCTTATCAGATTTTTAGGAGTTGTCTTCTGTTTTTTCGCTTCAATGCCTTCATGGATGTTTTCCTTGTTCTGATGTTTTGACAGAATTGATTAAGCTGCACATAGGCTGAAATTTACTGAACTTTTAGGTCTGACTGCAAACCTCTGTTTAAATATATGATGAATGTATGATATGCAGCCATGGGGAGTGGAGTGACTTACTGCGTTTACTCATCCTAACTACGGTTGAGGATGGGTTTAGGATTGGGATTCCATGGGCCTGGATTAGTGTTAGGATTAGTAAGTCATGGTATGTCATAACTTCTTCAGTTTTTCTCTTCCCTCCACCCTTCTCTAGCTGCTGACCCTTATTGTCAATTGGTGCATCCATTTTATCCTACCTGTCGCCAAATTGCATGACTTTCAGCTGCGCTTCAAATGGACTTAATCACGAGTCAACACATTGGTCAGAACTCTCTTCATGGTGGAAGTCACAGTTTTACAGATTGTTACCTTTAAATAGCTATGGGTATCCACAACCGTATTTCTTGGAATTGAGAATATGTATTACAGGGAAAGATAGCTATTCCGCTCTTGACAAACCAAAGTACACACAAACATCCCCCAAAAGTGCCCCAAAGAACCACCCGAAACACGAAGAAGTGTATATTATGCCCCAGAACAGTTGTGGAATGTATAAAAAACTTGTTGTAGATGTGTGTCGTTACTATGTCTCTTCAGAGGTCGAAAATCTGAAAAAAGAAAGAGAGAGAGAACGTGCGTTATAGCGGTACCTTTCAGTGATTGATAAAAATCTTTGTCATGGTTTTTAGCAGTAGCATATCTATACATGCCTTTGTGCCCGCCCCTCGTCCTCCTGTTTCTCCTTCGTTCACTCCTGGCCCCTTCGTTCCTCCCATTGGTGTTCCCCCTGTGTCTCCGGTGTTGCCCCTGTGCCTGTTTGCTTTTCCCGTGGTTTGTCGGTTGTTGTCTGAGTTGCTGTCTCTGTGTCTGTTCTGCATGTCTGTCTTGTTCCCTGTGCCCCGTTGATGTGTTTTGCTCTTGTTTTTGTCTTCCAGGGTCCGTGTCCCCGGTCTCATCTCGTCTGTCGCCTCCCCTGGGGCACGCCCGGAGTGCACGCCTTTGGGGGGGGGGGTTCTGTCATGACCTGCTCGTTCGCGCCTCCTGTGTGCCATGCCCCCCTCGTTACCTCGTGTTAATTCCCGATTGTGATCACCTGTTGCCTGTTGTTTTCGGCTTGTCCTGCGTATTTTAGTCTGCGTGTGAGTTAGTTGCTGTCTGCCCTGTCTCCCCGAATAAACCCTGTCTTTGGATCTTCGCCTGTCTGCCTTGTCTGTGCCGACTGCCTGCCTGCCTGGTGGAGCGCGATCATTACAGCTTGTGAACGACTTAATAAAATTTCAATGTTTTCTTAAGGGAAAAATTGCCTTGGTTTGCGTACATATTGGTTCGCGACCACTTTCCTGGAACGGATTGTGTTCATGAACCGCAGGCACCACTGTATATGCTGATTTATAGGAATTTCTTTTCTGCTTTTTTTGTAATGGTACGTTCAAGGCAAGTAGCTATACTTCCTATATTTGGTACTTAAGTGTTTAAGACTTTGCTTTTTATTTACATTTTACTGTAGTTCAGTCAAATATTGCTTTTTCACTTCCACTTGTCACTGTTAACGCAAGATGTAAGACTTCCTGCCTACGAGGTTTGAATGTTCGATTCATCAGATTTCATAACATGTCTTAGTTTTTCTGCCTGGTGCAGTTATCCAAGTCAAAATGCTTCCTACACCTTTATTGTTCAGCTCATATTACATATACGGTTATTTGTACATCTAAGTATTTTATGACTGATATTTGAGTTGTACTTCAGTTAGTATTCTCATGCTGACCCACGGTGGAAGGGGCTGTCCTAGAGGCACCAGTGGTGAACGCCAAGATGGGAGGATGTCAAAGCCCACAGGCCTGGCTACTCTGCTCATCCTGCGTGCTCTCCAGCTCTCGCTCTCCAGCAGGGAGAAGTACCAGTTCAAGAACCGCACTGCAGAAGATCCCCCTAAATTGTACTACCATACCTTGTACGTCGAAAACATCCAGGATATAGAGGTGTGTGTGGGTGCAGGGGGGATGGGAGAGGGGCTGCTCTCCTGCTGGGTTCTAGAGTCACTGCGCTGTAGCACACAAGAACAATGTATGTATCCCCCCCCCCCGACCATTGAGGCAAACTGGCACTGCGGCAGATACAACCTACAGAGGATCCAGTGTCACTCGGAGAACAGCAGGGTGGGGGGGGTTCACTGCCTTCAGTATGACAATGAAAAGATTTTTAGTGGCCTCCGGGACTATTTCATCAAGGTGTCTGGGTATGTGTATACATCTGTGTGTGTATATCTTTGTGTGTGTCTGTGTATATTTGTGTGTGTGTGTGTGTGTCTGTCTGTCTGTCTCACGTGACGTCAAGGCGAGCACTCGGTCCTCCGTCTTGCGACTGTGAGGTGCCGCTCTGCTGGATGGAAGCATGCCTTGGCCGGAGCCAAAATCCATAAATCCATAAATCTGTTTCTAACATCCCTCCTCAAAATTAGATGCGCCTTCATCCAGGCACATACGTGCTGTGTTGACTTCCGCATGCTTGTTCATACTAGTATATTAATTCCTCATAGCCTTACCAGGGAAAAAAACAGATTATCAATAATTAGCCCAGCCTTAATGGTGTGATATAATTATCCAAATAAATAATAATTAATGCAAATTTCCACTGCAGTTTAAGGTACAAATACGATCATTTATTACTTAGGCCAACTATATACAGCTACTATCAGTGGAACCAATCAGAGTTTAATGGTCATAAAGCAGCCATATTACTGGTTAATTAGCATTACGTATTAATTTTAATGAATGGCTTTAATGAACCAAATTTAAATGCTTCAGGTCTGACCCCGGGATGTCCTGCGTTGTAGTATGATACTGCTTATGGAAAAGAAACAGCACTCAGATGCACAGAAAATGATATAGTGATTAAAATATTGTTCTTCAAAATAAAGACAAGCCTATATTTATGAAATGAACAGTATTTTTTTGTTTGCAGAATTCAAACCTAAAATCGTATTTAAGATTGAACCAAAACTGCATATTACTACGACGATTACTATTATTATTATTGTACGGAAAAGGCATAAAGTATCGGGGCATGCCTTTGACATCTGGTTGAAGGAGACAACACCGTGGTCAGATACCGGTTCGGAAGAACGGCGCAGCGCAACCTGCGGTTGCCGAGCGGTAGGGGGGTGTTTGAGCAGAAGCGCTTTCGGAGAGAAGCGCGTCGGTGCGCCATTTGCTGCGACTCCTGCAGTCAAAGATGATGCTGATGAAACGTATAGGAAGGCGGATTGCAGCGCTGCGGAAGCAGTAATTAGCAACCATAAGAGATCAATGTGGACCATTATGGAGACCGCAGGCGAAAAGGAGATTCTGAAAAACACAGATTATCTGCAGATCGCAGCGGTATATTGAGATTATTAGGTAGTATGTCGATGAGGGCGATCTAGTGGCATTTCCGAAGGCGGCGGGCTGACAGTGAAAAGAGGCGACGGTCGGACAGGATACCCAGCGTCCGGCAGCCCACTCCGGCTCCGGCCCCCGACACCGTCCGCAATGCAGCGTCCCGGACCGAGCCCGGACACGCTCCGGGGCGCAGCGGAGCGCATAGACGACGCAGAGCTAGCGCTGCAGGGAATTAACCTGCTGCTGAACAACGGCTTCAGGGAGAGCGATGAGCTCTTCCGAAAATACCGGTAAGGGCTGCCGTCCTGGCGAACGGGCGTATTTTAGATGCACCCTCTCTCCGGCTGCTGTGCAATAGCGCTGATTTTACCCGGTCAGCCATCACCGGTGTTATATCAATTCCTGTTTGCAGTATTATTGCAGTACTGTATCAAGTGAACGGCATTGTTACATTTTGTTCAGGTGCAACCATACAGTAATATATGCCACTACCTTTTTGCATTAAGCGTGGGATTTTGTCTGAAATAAATACTTAATGCCAAAGTAACGCCGATTGTGCATTCTAAATTACTTAGGTACTGCAAATCAGCTACTATAAAAATAATACCGCTCTCTTACATATTTGCAGAATCGCTCGGCTACACGGAAGTAGCCGCTTTTTGTTTTTTCATCCCGAAAAAAAACATGAACCGGTTTTCGGCCGAGGCTATATATTCATGCCTGTAACGTTACACCTCACTCCGCACACCTCATGTAGTCTGTGATGATTAAAGAGCTAATATGGCTCCCGTGGGTGGAAGATGGAAGATTTGTACACACCCACGCTTTCATGTGAGCAAATGTGTATGTTAAGTGTGGGCCACGCAGAACTCTTACAGCATAAATGCTGTCTTAAGGGACCATCTTCCCCTAAGCTGGGGGTGGCTGGGCCTGTCACCTCCAGGTCCTCTCCCCTTCCTGGGGGGGGGGGACAGTGACACTCCAGGTGATGGCCCCCTGCCTAGGGGAAGTGTGCACCCGCCCGTTTCCATGCCAGAAGTGCATTATTAAAGATTTCCACAGGGCTGATTAAACACAGGCCCAGACAAGAACCCAGCACTCAGTCAGACGAGCTCTCGGCTACAGTATGGGCCGACTACATCGCTCGCTAGCGTTACCTCACCAATACTGGTAAGTGGCGGCCCCACAGTCTCTGTAGAAGGAGGGGATTTCCTGTGATGCAAGCGCAGGGACCAGGAACACATACATAACGAACGCTGAAACTGTTGGTTAACGCCTGATCGACTCGCACTGCGGTTGACGAGAAGGTGTCCCCCAGAGCTTTGAAGAACCGCAGCTGCACTGTGAGATCGACACACCCTCCCACCTCGCTGGTGGAACAGCACGGGTTTCAGTGTTCAGTTTGCCCCGGGCTGTCAAGTTGAAAAGGCGGAGCCAGATTGCTGGGTTTCAGACGCTCATTAGTTCATCAGACCACATGAAACGTCCCACACAAGCTGCACCAGTACATTGCAGCTTAATAAGCTGGTGTTGTTATACATTGAGCGAGTATTACGAAACCCTTCAGATTCTGACCTAGGGAGTTCCCATAATGCATTGTGTCTTAATTTATCAAACGGACCTCGGCCCTTTGCTGGTTTTCCAAGGCTGGATCGGTGTAGTCGGTATAGTAATTGCCTCATCTGAGTGTGTGGCTGGCCAGATACACCGCACCTCCTGCAGGCGTGTCATGTTGGCCCCGGTGCACCGTGTCACGTGACTCACAGCAGCCATGTGAGGAGGAGGCGGGAGCGTGATTCATGCTGCTTCCTGGCACGTGTGGGGGCGCGACAGCACACCCGGAATGCCAGGAATGCCAGATTGGGAAAAAGGCAGAATATCGGCAGCGCTCGGATTTCATTGATCGGTTATTCCTTTTCCTTCAGGCTCCCATTTCCATACAGAACAAGCTATGGCGTTCCTAAATGGTAACTGGTGTATCCTCTACCTAGGTGAATATATATATATATATATATATAGAGAGAGGTCAAGCTAACAATTGAGAGACCTTTGTACTAAAATGAACCAGCTGTACCCCAATAATAATACCAGCTCCACAGACTTACGGGTGAGGTAACCAGTAAACAGATGGTGGGAGGTTTTCGGAAGAACTGGTCTCGTTTTGGACAGCTGGGATGATGTCAGCATGGCCTGTGTTTGGCTTCAAGTCGTCAAACACATTTTAATAACCACGTCCAGTCATTTGTCTTGGCGCAGTGATGCACCCATCGTGGGGCTCCTCCTTCTGTTTCCATGACACCGGGCTATTTCCATAGCGATGCTGACAGACGTTTCCTTGCTGTGCCTTCAGCTGACAGTTTGTGGCGAGATGGCATCAGCTCTGGCACTGCCATCGGACCCCTGACAGCATTGATAGCATCAGCCAGTAGCGGCAAACCTCAAGACCCCCGTCAGCCTCCCTGCTCCTCTATTGGACTGTTGGCTCAGTCTCATGCATGAATCAGTTGTTGATTGGCTGATCCCAGTAAAGGGTCTGCCCCCAAATTGGTCGTCTCCAGTGAAGCATGATTTCGGAGGAGCTCCAGGCGTCAGCGATGGTTGTCTTGCTGTATGTCCAGGCTGCGTGGATCCCAGCTACAAATCTTTTCACTGCATTCTGTTTATCTGATAATACTTGAAACGCGTTTCTAATTTTCATGTCTGTAACGTTACACTTCACTCCACGCACCTCTTGTAGTTTCTTATGACTGAATTTTACAAGCAGATCCTGAGGTCAATTAAAAAAAAAATATGTGAAAAATACCGTCTACTAAGCACATCCTTTATTTAATTAATGTATGACAGTATTCTCATGACTAATCTTTTCCATTTACATCTATTTTATTTAGTAGTATCGATTACTATTATTAGTTGATCGAAGTACGTTTGTGAGGCAAACAGCATATTGCAACCATACAGCTGTCAAGGAATTGACTAGACATAAGTGCAGCTTGGCTGAGCTTCCAGTGAATGTCCAGGTACGAGTGTAAGCAGGATCAGAGCAGGAGCTACACAACAACTTCTAAACAGAGGAGAACCTAATAAGACAGCTGTTCAAATCTGCAGAAAGTGCCACATTAAGATCATTCGGGGAACATGATGAGGTTCCAGGCTAGAAGAGGTGTTCCTGGAACAGATGGGTCTTGAGACGTTTCTTGAAGGTGGAGAGATAATTTGATGACCAGACCATCATTGTATTATCTGCACAAATCTACCTCTTTACTCTTTCTGCCCAGCACCAGCCACGACGGCCCTAACCCTAAGCCTAACCCCAAGCCTAACCCTAAGCCTAACCTCACATAGGAGAGGAACCCAACATACGATGGAAGCCAGAGGGTGCATTGTTGAGGGCTCTGTAGCAACACAACCTGCACCGAAATGGGAGGGACAGCATAGTTAGGTGCACGACACACCTGGTGTCTCCCTCTCGACAGTCGGTACTGTGAAAAGGAGGACTGTGAAGGTGAGCACTGGCGGTAGTGATGTCATCATACAGGATTACCATTCACCGATCTAAATGTAGCTCCCAGCTGGTGCTTGGTGACGGGATGCCGGTGGGGGCTTCAGTTTACGTGCACCTTGAAATTCTTTATATGCTAATGTGTGTTTAAGTAAATTCTATAATGTATAATGCTGGTATTTATGCACTCTCTTTTAAATAATTGGTTTTATAATAATAATGAATAATTAACAGATACAAAATAGTGCTTTAAAATAACAAAGTTGGGCTGTTTTGGCCGAGGGTGGAGTTCTGGGAGTACCACGCCACATCACATGTTAAAGTGCGAAACTGAAAAGCGACAGTGCGTGTGATGGGCGATGTGGCCCAAAGCAGCAGGGACGTTAGATCGGGCCTGACTGGCAGCTGTTTGGCTGCAGTGTGATGACAGCCAGAAAGGTCTGTATAACAGGAGTCTTTGTCCATTGTTTGTTTTGTCAGTCTTCACAATCATGCTCCACGCCCCACTGCTTCCAGCTTAACCAATAGCATCGGACCTGGTACAATGACTGAAGTGAGGGGATCCAATCAGGGCCACACTTGGGGCCATTTTAGGGGGATATTGAGTGACGGTTATTTTTCATGTTTGTTTTTCTCCTCCCAACCGGCAGGTACCACAGCCCCCTCATGAGCTTTGGAGCCAGCTTCGTCAGCTTCCTGGTGAGTGGGGGCAGGCGCGGGGGGTGGGGGTGGTTGTGTGTACATGTACACCCTTGCCACATCACATATTTCAACATGTTTAACCCAAGACACATGTGCTCAGATTGAACTTCCTACAGGTCTGTATATGCACTGGTGGTTTATGCCCAGTCTACATTAACACTTACTCCTGCGCTGTACTGTTACACTCCGGGGTGTGTCACTGCACACCCCACAGCTTAGACGAGAGTCCCAGCTGAAAGTGTTTACATCACAAATCCCTTCATGATCTAAGGCTAAAGCATGTAGCTGTTTGATTGTGTTGAATCAGTGTTTGGGTCCAATATTAAAGTTCCAAATAGCTATTTTTATTTATAGTTTTATTACCAAGAGCTAAACGTGTAAATTTAAGATGTCCAGAATGTTGACAGCAGATGTCTTGGTCCACTTGGCTCAGATAGAGCTGCCTGGGATGATTCCCCATCTTGGTCTCCAAAGGCTCTCTTGACTGAATTGACTCTAGCAGCTGATCTTCCATCATCTTCAGCTCCATTCTGTGTGCTCAGGGCTCCTGTTCCACCCATCTGCATTTCTAACCTTCTTGCCCTCCCTGTCTGGGTTGTGTCCTCCCTCTGCTTCATCATCTCTTCATCAACACCCCCCTACTACCCCCCCCCCCAAGACAGTCATCAATAACTCCATGTCTACACCTCCCAGACCTCCAGATTAAGAGCTGTTGACACGTTTCTCCTCCATCACTGTCTCCAGCACCCCAATGCCTGTCTGCTCTGCTCCGTCCACTGTCACCTACTTTTTCTCCTTCACCTCAGATGCTGTCTCTCCTTTCCCTCCATCTCCCTTAAGGCTTTACTCCTCCTCTTTCTCCCTCACTCCCATCTTCTCTTCCTCCCTCACCTTCATCTTTTTCTCTGTCTCCATCGCCTCAGACATTTCCCCGCCTCCACCATTTTACATCCTTAGCTTGCTTTCTACTGAACCAAGAGAATATCATCCCCTTCCTCTTATTACTTATTCATTGCTCTTTTTGTCCCGCAAGTTCCCCTCTGCTTCTACACTGGGCTTAAACAGCTTAAAAGTGCAGCTTGATGTTTGCCCCAGTCTCACCTGACCTGACGTTCTAACCTGAAATGACAGCAGTCACAGTCTTCCATCCATGTTCCCATGTTGACTTCATCTTCTTCACAGCAACACAGCAGATATGGTTAAACACCATAAGGTATCTGACACTTAACCTTTACATTGTTGCTGATGCAGCTAAGAATTGAATCTTTGTACAGGTGTATATTTGCACGTGCTTATTGATTATTTTTAACCAGATGGATGTTAAATAGTGATAAATATATTTAAAATTGCATATTTTCTATCGTAAACATATTTACTGATTTAAGCCTTTTTATCAGTTACATGGTTCGACAGGAATTAAGTTCCTTAATTCTGCACTTCAGAAAATCAGACAGCAGGTGGCAGCTTTGTGCCATGGACAAGACACCGAGCTTAAAGATATCAGTAATAATTTACCTCGTTATTTAGGTTCGATCAAACTGTTACTGATCCAGGTGCTGCCCCTATTAATCTGTAAAGATAATTGCACGTGTCATTCAAGAACTGTTTTCTGATGATAGCTATCACACACAATGGGATTGTAATTTTATCCCTTTTTAATTTCCTTTACATGGTGGATTGATACTAAGAGATTATCGTTCTTATTAAACACCTTATTAAACACTCAGAGATTTGAAATAATTAAGGTTTTTCAATAGGTGTTATCGGTGTGTAGATTGTTAACGTACATATTTACAGTCGCAGTAAAAGAAAACCTGGCTTTCTATGTTTGAGGTTGCTAAAGAAGCAGGAAATCAACTCATGCTTTGGGCTCGTCTGACTTTATCAGATGGTAAATGTGCTCCATTAGTTTCAGTTGATTCAGCCAATTAATCAGTCAACCCTGAATTGATCTTCGCTGATAAATTTGATCAGTTGATCTGTTTCTTTGCATGTTTATTTATTTTCTGATCTGGTCTGGTCCTTTGCAAAAATCTTGCCAGATTCAGTCTTGGTTATTCTGCCGTTAGTGATCCTGTCTCTCTCTCAGGTCACGATTTTGTTACTAGAGCACCAGGATGTGGGAGATACTAAACAGCTTTAACTTGAAACTCACTGATCCAGCATGTGATGTTTAGAGCTATACTGAGGCTGTTAGTAGATTGTATCTGAGTCTTTTTGACGGCGATATATGAAGGGATTGTATTGAACCCTTTCTGCTTCCAGACAGCAGCATACATCAGTTAAGTGTTTTACAGAGGGGCTTTCATGCCCTACTAAGCCTCAGGATTCATGCATTTTGAAAGCCATTCTAAGAGCTGTTGTTATAAATATCGTATTGATTTTTGGCGTCTGTGGAAGCGCGTTGCGTGTGTGTGAAGTGTGTAGCGTGTCACGTCACATGTCGCGTGCCGGCTGCCACAGAACGCCATGATGACGTTTGAGGAGGAGAAGATGCAGATGGCGTGCGATGACCTGAGGATCACGGAGAGGATGTGTGAGAGTGACATCGGAGTTATCGAGACCATCAAGAACAAGATCAAGCGGAGCGTGAGCACTCTTTCTGTAGGCCCCAGAGAGCCGACGGTTTTTATTAGCCACGAAAGTGCAAAGAGTTTAAAAATGGAGAGTGTCTGTGCATTTCTCCATGCAGATGGACTCCCAGAGTTCAGGCGTGACGGAGGTGGACCGGCTCCAGAGGCAGATCATCGTGGCCGACTGCCAGGTTTATCTGGCCGTGCTTTCATTCGTCAAACAGGAGATCTCAGGTTCGCCCCTGCCGCTCCTCTCCTGTAGGAGGTGCTGTTGAGCCCTTCCATAAAGCACCGCATGGTTCAAACAGGTTTGGCCTCACCGAGGTGCTGTAGTGTTAGGACTTACCAGACCGTAAGAGTAGTCAGTGCCTAGACATCAGTGAGAGTGCATGTTTGTTCTTCTTAACGAAACAGTAGCTAATTGTGCTGTAAGTGTTGTAAGGCATCTCTGTACCTCCACTCCTCACCAGCATATATCAAAGGTGGCTGGATCCTTCGCAAGGCTTGGAAGATGTACAACAAGTGTCACAGTGACATCAGCATCCTGCAGGAATCATACCAGAGGCGAGCGTCCTCTTCCTCTGACCAGGTCAATGACAACGCCCTGGTCCGCCCCACGGCCGAGGCCCTGGGCCGCCTCAAAGGCTCAGTCAGTTTCGGCTATGGCCTCTTCCACCTGTGCATCTCCATGGTGCCGCCGAACCTGCTGAAGATCATCAACCTTCTGGGGTTTCCCGGTGACCGGTTGCAGGGGCTCTCCTCCCTCACGTATGCCAGTGAAAGTAAGGACATGAAGGCCCCTCTAGCTACGTGAGTAGGTGTACCGTGTGAGCCTCACCCGGACTCATCTTCTGTTCTTTTGCAGTTTTTTACACCTCACAGTGCATACTGTATATTTACCACACGTTATGTTCCTCATAATTGTGTTTGTCTTTGCTGTCAACAGAACCTACACATTTTGCAGAATGTATCATTCTTTGAGCATGATGCACTCTTGTACAGAATCAATCTATGATGTTAGAAGATCTTTGGAACTTGCTTCCTTCATAGGTAACCAGGTAGCCTTTTGGTTCCGCTATGACATTCATAGCCAGTCAAACAAAGATGGAACTAATGATCTACAGTTAGAGAAAGGTTCTCCAGAATCCAAAACTACTGGAAGGCCAGTTTGCAGCACAGTTTGCAGATTTCCCTACTCAAACACATCTAACTCAGCTAATTACCAGGTTTAGTCGGTATGTCTGGGCAGGGACATCAGCAAACTGCAAACTGGGCCTCCAGTACCAGAATTGGAGAATCCTGAATTAGAAGAAAGAGATGAAGATATCATCACTATACTAGTAATGTTTCATGTCATTGGTTAGTGAGAGGGGAGCGCAGCAACTTATTGGTATGAACAATGGCACTCAATGCAGTGTGTCATGGAGGTACTGCCATTGCAGGCCTGAGTGACTCTCCCTCACTCCTTCACGCCCCACAGGTTGGCCCTGCTCTGGTACCACACCGTTGTGCTGCCCTTCTTCGCCCTGGATGGCTCGGACACGCGCGAGGGCTTGATGGAGGCCAAGGCCATCCTCCGGGAAAAGGAAGCGGTCTATCCCAGCTCCTCCCTCTTCATGTTCTTCAAAGGCAGGGTCCAGCGCCTGGAGGTACAGCGCCTGGCCCTCTGTCTGGCCGCCAACCCTGCTTCCCTCAATCATTTTACCATCCAAAGAATGGAGCTTCTGGGTAGCTTGGCTTGGAATGTGATGTCTCGATCACTCCCCCCTTCCCCCGTTGTGTTTCAGTGCCAGATAAACAGTGCCTTAAATTCCTTCAATGATGCTTTGGAACTGGCCACAGATCAGCGAGAGATCCAGCACGTGTGCTTGTACGAAATCGGTACTGCCTACCCGCCCTTCCGGTCTGACAAGCTAGCAAATTAGCCACTGGTCACTAATTACTTCATATCAGACAGCATACTGATACACAGATTGGTCCATCAAGCTTGTCGCTTGTTGTGAGTTTTGTACACATGCCTCCAACATCAAGGACATTTCAGATGTTTCCGCTGGTTGCAGGGTGGTGCAGCATGATCGAGATGAACTTCATAGATGCCTACAAGTCTTTTGAGAGGCTGAAGAACGAGTCCCGATGGTCCCAGTGTTACTACGCCTACTTAACTGGAGGTTTGTGTCTGGTTGCATACTAGCTAGCATGTCACAATCTGCCATTTGGTTGAACCTCAAAATGAACGGAACAAAGACTAAATCTCTTGCTGTTTGGAACTCCCCATCAGACACCATTCCTGATCCCCATATATGGGCAGCCAGAAACAAGCTGATGCTAAGGCTTAACTTGGTCCTTACACTGCCTTCTCATTCAAGTGTGCCAAGGTGCTGCCGGAGATCTGGAAGGAGCCATCGGTGTCTTTAGAGATGTCCAGAAGCTCTTCAAACGGAAGAACAATCAGATCGAACAGTTTGCCGTGAAGAAGGTCGGTTACCCCCCCACCCCACCCCACCCCTGGCAAAGGCCAGATCTTTGCTCTACAGTGAGGATCGAAATAACCATGCCAGTTATGATAGAAGCATCTAGATGGTTTTTAGACTTCTAAAGTGATAGCTGGCTGGCTAATGGGCGTCCCGATTTCCTTTCAGGCTGAGAAGCTCCGAAGAATGCCCCCCACCAAAGATCTGTGCATCCTGGCTACCATAGAAGTTCTGTACCTGTGGAAGGCCCTCTCCAACTGCTCCTCCACCAAGCTGCAGCTCATGAGCCAGGGTGAGCTTAGGCCTCCAGACGGTGCCTCTGAGCCTAAGGGCACTTCAATTCTGTACGGACATTATACCGCAGGGAGTTAAAGTTTCGCTAAAACATTTTTAAAAACATTTAAAAATAAAACACTTAACAAGCTTTGCAATTTTAATGGTTATTCCTTTTATATATTTAATAAGATATATATGTTTGAGAAATCATTTTAAAGTTTACTTCTGCTGAGCGCCGCATACGTTCACCCAGACAATCATAATCATTTTCATATATTTCATCGTTTCATATGTCGTTAAATCACTCCTGGACAGGTTTGTGAAAATTTTATGGCCCTCCATTTTGCTTTTTATAAATACCCCAATATTTATTACAGCAAAATCACATCGCCATATCTGGAAATTTTCAAGTACTGTGCTGTCCTAGTATATTAAACAAAATACTTTTTTATTTCCTGACATGCCATCCTGATCTTTTTATATCTGTTCTTTCAACCAGATCGAAATTATTTTTTTTTAGTTTGTCTATCGTTTTCTGAGTTCGTAACTTTTTTCAAGAGGTTATACTGTGTTTTAGAAGCAGGCTTTTTGCATAACCAATCGACAAAGAAAGTGTAAGAAAGTACGGTACCAGGTGCGGTGGAAAAGAGCCATAATACACACTCTGTATGGGTAAAGGGTTCAGTGCTCACTGGCGCCCTCTAGTGGTAGCATGAGGGAAGGGACAATCTAGAGAAAAATATCCCACTGAAATTCGCACATTTTTATGGATTGTAGCTGACCAGTTTCAGTATGTTGTGGTAGTGGGTAACTATAGTTTTTTAACAGACAGAGGAAGTGGACATGTCTGTCTTTCTCAAGGATGTCCACTGCACACTGAGCATCCCCCTGTCTCCTTTCAGTTCTACAGGGTATAGATGATGTTTCCTTCGCCGGCCTGAAGAACCTTCTACTGGGTTCCATCCACAAATGCCTGGGCAACAGGAGGGATGCGGTGCAGGTATGTAGATGCCCTTGCCCCAGGGCCAAGCTCCTTCTGAGAGCCACATTTGATGTGCTTATTTCCCCGTTGGGCTACAGTTCTTCCAGCTCGCTGCCAGGGACGAGGTGGGCCGGCAGACTAATTCCTACGTGCAGCCGTATGCCTGTTATGAGCTGGGCTGTGTCCTGCTGGAGAAACCGGAGGTGAGGAGGCGGGGCTGGTGAGGTCGTTAATCAAGTGGGGTGCCATGTTTACAGTATATTAGCTGATTAAAGTATCTGTGTAACCAGGATAAGTGGATAGAGGATAGACAGATGGATTGATGATTGGAGTATTTATTCAAAGTCTCAATCTTCCTTATTGTTCTTAAGATTGATGCATTGATACATTAAATGTACATTTATAATGTTGAGCAGTCACTAATGATGTTGTGTGTGTTTGCTTGCAGTCCGTAGGGAAGGGAAGAGCCCTGCTTCTGAGGGCAAAGGTAAGTCACAGCTGTTGAGGTGTCCATTGCTGTAAAATGGAAATTTTGGATCAAAAAGATACATTACAAACGAGTATAGAAATGGGCAATTGAATGGCTGGTGTGTATTTTTGAATGAGCCGCTTATTCTGGTGCAAAATGCATTTTTGTAATTATTACATTGCGGGGACTAGATTTCCCCACAATGTGATTAAAAATCTATACATTTTTATATTGTGGGGACATTTTTTCGGTTCCCACTAGGATAATTTCAATTTTATAAAAATCTGTGACTGCAATCGAAAAGATGAAAATGCCTTGTGCTTTGATGGTTACTTATGGTAAAGGTGAGGGTTAGGTAGGGCTTAGGTATGTTGTAGTTGGGATTAGGGTTTTACCCATAGAAATTAATAATGAATCCCCATAAATATATGAATACATGGACTATGTGTTTGTCTGTGTGTGTGTGTGTGTGTGTCTGTGTCTGTGTGTGTGTGTGTGTGTGTGCCCCATAGGAGGACTACATGGGCTATGACTTTGAGAACAGGCTGCAGGTTCGCATCCACTCAGCTCTGGCCTCGCTGAAGGAAGTGGTCTCGCAGTGACCTTTGACCCCGCCTCTTCACCCAGCCCTACCCCACATCCAGCACACCCCCCCCCCCCAAATAAAATCACACCTACACTGTGTTGAACACCTTCTTGTCATGGGCAGTCTGGCTGTCCCTTGCTGCACCCTGTCGACTTTTTAAAGAAAATTTGTTTACTTTTTCCAGTGTCTCAGAGTGAGTGAACACATTTAATGTCTTTGATGGTTGGTTTTGGTGCTTGTTATAAGAAATGCGTAGTTTAATGCTGGGTTCCCGCACAAAGGCAGTTTACTGGCAGTATTGTGTTCACAAGTGAATGGCCATTTATAATACCATTTAGGCTTTGGGCAAGAAAAACCAAGCGCCACCTCACAAACATATACATATAACATATATACTACACTACCATACAGGCAGATGTTAACTGTCTAACAGGTTTATTCATGCTGCCAAAAAAAATACTGAAAGGAAACTGAAGATAAGATGTGATACTGTAGTTGGCTTCTGGGGTTGAGGCTGCTGGACTAGGTTTGGTTCACATACGTGTTCTTATGAAAACGATGCCCCAAACTTTGTATTCTGGGAATAATCAAAAGGACTCACCCTAGTGGAATTCACGGACCAGTCTAGGTCACTGTCTGGGTCACTATACGTGCTGTTTCAAGAAACATTACACATATTTTTGAGCTTGGAATTCTGTATTTTTTGTTACTTTATTAGGGACTTCAATCCTTTATAACAAAGTAATTTATGTAAATATTTAATGGAATGTGCTTTAATACAGAAATAATCTGGATATATTTAATTCGATATATGATAGGAACAACTGGAGGATCCTCCTTTTAAGGTTGGAATAATGATATTTGTGACTGTTACTTCCTAAACTTTCTTTACTGAATGCATTGAACTCTCACTTTTCTACTGGACCACACCAGTGACGAGTGATTTTCTATACCAGTAGAACTAGAATGGTTAAGGCTGGCCTGTGTTTTATACAGTATATCAGTCACTCCGAGGTGCGGTCAGACAGCAATAAATACTCAAGTTGTTTGGGGGGGGGGGGGGAGCGTTCCCAGGAACACAGCAGTATTTTGTCTGTTACTGTAATTATAAGCTGAAGTTCATTATTCAATGTGTGTGACTAGCATTGATTTTTAAGGATCGGACACAAGTCCACTAACACTCAGAATAACCCACATAAATTAGTGACCAGCTGAAAAACAGGAGCTTTACATGTTCTGAACGTTTATCTGATGTGGGCAACATGCATTGGTAAGGCATGATACAGTATATATAATACATGATATTTAATACACCACACAAGTAATATTATTAACCTGGGGTGTGATAAGGGGTGATTATGTCTGTGTGTGCTGGGGATTGGTGCATATGCAGTATTTTGTTTCTAAGTACTTCTTAAATCTTATAAACAAAAATGTGGCAACGTGAATTTCTAGGTGCGATAGGGGGCAGTGAGGGGTTTTCTGCACCAGATAGCAAGAGACCTCAGTGACAAATTGTGATGTCAATAAAAGGCCTTGAATATATCAGTCGCTTTGTGTTCATTGTTTCATTATTAATAGAGAAAAACACAGACAATTCAAAACTAATTTAACTTTAGCTGACAGTAACCACCAAGGACAGTGAAATTCCAAGGTACTATTCATAGGTCACAATGCTTTCATTAAAATTGTATATTCAGGAGGTAAACAATTACAATGCTAATTACGGTGCTACAATTCTACCTAACACCCTCATTAAAGCCATTAACTATCCAACAAATGCCATTTAACCCAAGACACGACTCTCAATATTTACTGAACTAATTTTAGTATCAGCCGATGATGTATGTTATTGCACATTTAAAATGATTATTTTGAAAGGTACCACTTATTATAGTTTGTGCAAACCTGGATTCACCCCTCTGTAGCAGATGGTATCTGCACTTTTTTGGGTCACCAGTGTGTTAGCACCTAATTTAGACCCGGAGCCGCAGGAGAATGTGGATTCTGTCCTGATAAAAGCTTTACTAAAGCAATTAAGAGCCAATGCATTGGGGGGGGGGGGGGGGGGGAGCAGAGCTGCCACTGCAGACGGACCAGGGATCCCACTTGCTGTGGTGTGCATGAGCATTCAGACAGCAGAATCCAATTAATCATGCAGAAACACTATTTAAGTCATGCTGCACCACATTTATAGCAGCAACTGAATGCTCCTGTGAAAAGCATTCCGTGGTATCACTGGATAAGATGCATAAAGCTTATTTAGTATATGAATGAGAGCAATTCCCATGTCACTGACACTAATTTGCATAAAGTGTAACCCCAGACACACAGAAAGGGCTGAATCCTCAAAAGGCCTTTTTATTTTCCAGCAAATCTCTGTTTTGCTCCCAAGGTGAACTTGTTCTGAGCCATTTGCGGTTTAGGACAAATCCAATAAGCTGCGTCCCTGTGAAATACAGTAAACACAAAACTAGGGCCCAGTCTGTCATTCGTCTTAAACAACCAGCCAACCATTGCCGAGTCTCTATAGAATTTTATTGCTATGACTAATTCATGCATAAAGCAAGGTGATTCACTCATCAGCAGTTACCTAAAAGCTTGTTCTCTTTTAAAATACCGAAAAAGAGGCAGATCTAGCACTTACAAAACCTACATTCATGAGACTGCAAAACCAATAAATAAAATTGATTAGTGGGGAGGGGTCAGGGCAGGTCAAAGCCCGCGTTGTATCCTAGGGTTCACCGCCGGCCCCAGAATCTGCTTAGGGTGCAGGACCCTTGATGAAACGGCTCTTGTGTTAATGATGGCCAAGCCTAAGAAGGTGGATGAGGAGAAGGTCCCGGATCTTGTCAAGGGGAACTTCCATCTCCAAGAATGTCCCCAAAACATTTCTTTGAGCCAGGTAAGGAGTCTGACTGAGTTGCCGGCAAAAGAGATGCACGTATACGGTCAGGCAGTGCTGAGGACTACTAATATGTTTAGTAATATGTAAACACTACAAATGAGCCCACCTGTCTTTCCAAAACAATCATTTATACTCATTTCAGTGTGGGTATTAACACTGATTTAGACCATCTGTGTTATCCCAAAGTCTTCATAATGCATTTTAATAACATATATTTATTTATTCAGGCAGTTCAGCTGTAGAGCAGACAGTAGAGAGTCAGGCAGTTCCCAAGCTTATTATCAAACTCCTCTAAGATCACGACTCCCCGTGTCCCAATGGAAGACCACGCTGCAAAAAAATCGTGAACTTGCCTTTTGCGGCAGAAAACCAGAAGCAAGAAACTGATAAGGTCACATGCTTGATGAGAGACATCCGCTGGAGGCACAGAGCGACGTCTGTCGAGAGCGGCCGTGCGGGAGAAGCGGCAGGGATGGTACCAGAAAGATCAGAGGAAGTCAGGTGTGCAGGAGAATCGGCAAAATGAACATGCGTGTCGGACATTCTTCAGCAGGGCTAGCAGACGGATTTGGTTAAATCATTTGAATAAAAATAATCAAATCAGAGGATTCTGTGAACGAAACAGATACCCATGTTATTATTTTGTATGAAAAAAATGTTAATTTTCTCAAAAGCTTTTGTAAATAGCAGGAATGGCAAAAACACACCCCCAGGCTAGAAAAACAACCTGCCAACTTGTTTGCTCAACCCAGACCCTAATAGAACGATAAATTTCTGTATAAATTTGGCAAGCCTGTTAAAGTCAAATTAATTGTTAAACTGAGAGATTGAAGAGACCCTGAAAGGCATTTCATCAGTTGTTTTGCTCTATTAGCGGTAGGACTATTAGCGGTAGGATATTATCTGTGTACCACAGCTACTGAGATGATTGTTTTCTCAACGTTCAATCCTTACAGTCAATGGAAGGCCCTAGATCAAGGTTGTAAGGCCCTGGAGAGACAGGAGAGTTGGGCCTGACCTTCGCATATCTAACACTAATAAAAGAGACAGGATTTATCCAACCAGGAATGGTCTGTTCGCTACCTGAGGACTGTGCACAAACCCTGCAGTTTAAAGCAGTGTTTCCCTATTCAGTCCATGTTTTTGCTCCCTCCCAGCTCCCGGTATGTGGACTGTCTGGCAGGAAGATGGGAGGGAGCAAAAACGTGGACTGTCTGGCAGGAAGATGGGAGGGAGCAAAAACGTGGACTGTCTAGGGTTGGGAAGCACTGCTTTAAATTAAAGGAGCAGAAACAGATTCTGGAAAAAAGAAAATCTGGGACCAGTATTTACAGCCAAAGACTGGTGTCTATCACAGTTTCCCTCCATTAAGATGTCCATTGCTGAAAGAAATTGCCCTGATGAAGATACACAGCAACACTTTACACAGCAACACTTTACTTGTGATCGCACAAATAACGTAGTAGTACACTCTTACTTAATGTAACAGAAACTAAGTGTTAATTACCTACTGATCCCATGTTCGTTCATCATTAATCGATCATAATGGTTCATGTATTTCATGCAGTGACTATATTTGTTCATGCTTTGTATACAAGTAGCAACTGAGTTACTAAGTTACTTTTGCCCTATCAAGAAAAGTGTCCATGCTTACTATATGATTACACTTATAATAATTATCAATCAATAAAAACATTTTAGGGACATAGCATTTGCATTTGAAAACAAAAATTGATTGACACAAAGCTGATCGACTTAAGGTTTCCGTAGCATTGAAATCAATTTCGGTTTGTGTTTTTATTTTGATTTCTGTTTTCAGGGCTTTCACTTTTTTAGGCTGATATGTTTTGGTTAGGGAACCTCAGGGTGTTTCATACCCCCTGAAACCATAGTGTTATGTTCTAATCTAACAGAGACCCCTCTGTGGTGTCTGTGGTACAGCCGGACCTAATCATGCAGGTGGATACTCAAACACACATGGACAACAGGAATGCTAAAACAAAAAACTCTTCCGTTTTTCCTCACATTCACACTTTATTTCAGCATTTCATTTTAAGCCTACTTTATTTTTGCTAAATCTGAGCAGCCTTAGTTTTTTACTACAAACAACATCTGTTCTGCGCTATTTCTAAAGCAGGTAAACTGCAAAATCCTGCAAATATTTCAGTCCACCATCCTGTGTTCATTTGCTTGTAATCACTTTCTGCCAGCAAGCAAACCCATAACAACAAACTACCACTTTCCTAATGGGTCTTAATTGGAAACGTCAATAAAAACAACATTAGGGCTGTTTAAGTGGGAAGAAGTCCTATTCCAGCTTCAGCCCATCTTTTAAAAACCTTATCCCGATGTTTGATTTTTCACATTGATCGAATCGAGCACCACTTGCGCATTGTCCATTTATTCTTCATACATTAGAGATATTTATAAAGCAACCATTGCATATGCCATTATAACAAACTACCACATCTTAATAATAGGCACCATCAACAACATCGTCGTACAATATTTGTTTGATACTCTATTTATGGCTTTGTTGTAGCACATTGTCTGTTGGAATGTGGTATTGCACAGCTCATGAGAGCAACAAGTATGCTTTATGTATGAAGGCGCTGTGTCAACCCCTCTCAACCTTAATGGCACTGGTCATGTGACTACAGCACAGGCCCTATGACACTCAAGTCCAGCAGGAAGAGGGCCGGGGCAACCCAGAGAGCAGACGTCCAGTCCCAGCATCCACAGGCCAGCTAAAACAAGTAGCCAATTATATTTCAGTGGCTGAAGGTAGAAAAGATGGGGACAAAAAAGCATCATCAGGATCATTCTGTATTACTCTCTCTAATGATGTTTAATGTATCACAACACACCCATGTACAGTGATTTGGGATGACTCTGTTGTGAAAGGTGCTATATAAAAATAAATTGAATTGAAATTAATAGGGTCTCTAATGATACAATTCTTACTTTGGTCCCCACGTTGTCATTTAGTTTGAAATCGTGATTGTCAGTTAACTTTTCCATCCCAATAAATGGGGAGTATTTATTTTTCATGAATTTCATTGTAATTTGGGAAACATATTTTTAGAGTATCTCCTTCTATTTGACAGTCTCCAAATTGTGGACAATTAAATAAAAGAAAGACACTATATGGAATACAGACTGGGAGGAGTTCCTTTTTCATATCCATGATGTCCATACTTTGGATATAAATTTGAAATCATTTTGGTTTTTTGTGTTTCCACAGATATGGGAATATGCTTAAAGAAACACGAAACACCACCAGTTTCTTTGGGTTGACTAGACCTAGTAGCACTTAAAATTAGAATAATAAAGAACAAGAATGTGGTGTTGCTTGGATAACCCATTTAACCACATTTTTTCCCACATACATCTCAATATGCTAATAGTGCAATTTCAGTGTTAAATGATACAGGGCTCAACATCATGACCTCATTGTGTCTGATCTTTATTTAACATAAGTAAGTCCCAGAGGTAGGCCTATGCTTTGTTGAAAACCATGTGTATTCGAGTTTAGCCTGAATTAGTAAATTTATTCTAGCTCTAGGGACTCGCAAAAATGTTTTTTGTGCACTTGATTTAGGGACACCGGTCTCTACGTGAAACAAAATGGTATAAATCG